AACAGACTGATCTCTCCGAACTCGATCTCGGAGCATGGGCCACACTCTCATCGACCGTACTCCTCCTACTACAGGCACCGTAGGAAGTGACTCGACGACGTCTAACTGCATCCGAGCGAACTCTCGAAGGAGCTGACTCTGCTGGGTGATCATGCAAGTCAACTCGCCCCTCGCCTTTCGGCTAAGGGCATCAGCTACCACGTTCGCCTTCCTCGGATGATACTGGATAGTGCAATCATAATCCTTCACTAGCTCCAACCATCGCCTCTGGCGCATGTTGAGCTCCTTCTGCGTGAAGATGTACTGCAGACTCTTGTGATCGGTGTAGATCTCGCACCGACCACCATACAAATAGTGCCTCCAAATCTTGAGCGCGTGGACAACGGCTGCCAACTCGATGTCATGAGTCGGGTAGTTCTCCTCGTGGGGCTTCAGCTGTCGCGAAGCGTAAGCGACAACCTTGCCCTCCTGCATCAGCACGCACCCAAGTCCCTGCTTCGAAGCATCACTATAGATAGTGAAACTCCGTGTAGGGTCCGGAATAGTCAGCACGGGTGCCGTAGTCAACCTCCTCTTGAGCTCCTGAAAGCTCGACTCACAACGGCTACTCCAATCGAACTTAGTCCCTTTCCTCGTCAAGCGTGTCAAGGGTAGGGCTATCTTCGAAAACCCATCAATGAACCTCCTGTAGTAGCCTGCTAACCCGAGAAAACTCCGTATCTTGGTAACACACCTAGGTGCTGACCAGTTCCTCACTGCCTCGATCTTCTCGGGATCGACCTCAATGCCCTCGGCCGTAACAATGTGACCGAGGAATGCCACTCGATCGAGCCAAAACTCGCACTTCGAGAACTTGGCGTACAGCTTCTCCCGCCTAAGAGTCTCCAACACGATTCTCAAATGTTCCTCATGCTGGGCTGTGCTCCTCGAGTAGACCAAAATGTCATCTATGAAGACGATGACAAACTGGTCCAAGAATGGGTGGAAGACACGGTTCATGAGATCCATGAATACCGCCGGCGCATTGGTCAAGCCGAACGGCATCACGACAAACTCATAGTGACCGTATCGGGTACGAAACGCGGTCTTCGCCACGTCAGACTCCCGAATCCTCAACTGATGGTAACCCGAACGAAGATCTATCCGGGAAAACACACGGGCACCTCTCAGCTGGTCGAATAAGTCCTCTATCCTGGGGAGTGGATACTTGTTCTTCACCGTCAACCGGTTCAAGTCCCGGTAGTCGATGCACATGCGCAGTGTCCCGTCCTTCTTCTTCACAAAGAGGACAGGTGCTCCCCAAGGTGAAACGCTCGGCCGGATGAAGCCGAGACCCAACAACTCCTGAATCTAAGGCTTCAACTCCTGAAGCTCCTTCGGCGCCATACGATACGGCGCTTCCGACACTGGCCCAGCTCCAGGCAACAGGTCGATCGTGAACTCCACCTGACGACTAGGTGGTCCTCCCGGTAGCTGATCCAGAAAGACGTCCACAAAATCTCTCACTATGGGTACATCTCCGGGCATGCGCTCCTCCGAAGGTTCCCCGAGTATAGTGACTAGATAGCCCTGACAATCCTCCCTCCGTAGGCACTTAGTCGCCTTCGCCATGGAAATTATACGCGGTATAGTCCTCGTCCTCGTCCCGAAGAATGTGATGTGGTCTCCATCGGCTAAGTGCAACGTTACCTCTCTGTCACGGCATCGGATGTCTGCGTGATATCTCTCCAACCAATCCATGCCGAGAATAAGGTCGAACTCCCTCATCTCGATCACGAATGCGTCTACCTCTAGAGTTCTGCCTCCAATACACATGCTAAGGTTCTTGGCCAGGGAACTCGTGACTATCTTCCTCCCCGAAGCTAGGCTGATCTCGAGGGGGTCGACGTCACTCACACCCTGAACCCCTATGGCCTCTAGACACTTGGTGGAGACGAACGAATGTGTCGCCCCGGTATCGAACAAAGCAAAGACAGGTACATCGAGTAAAGAGAGCATGCCAGACATGGTACCTGGCTGCTCGGCGGCCTGCTCCTGGTCAAGTGCGTAAATACGGGCAGGTGCACCTCGAGGTGGGTGCTGAGCTGGCTGTCTAGGAGCTGGCTGTCTCTGAGCTGGAGGTCTCTGGCCCTGCTGGGGCTGTGGGCGATCTGGTCAGTCTGCGATCCTATGACCGGGCCTGCGGCAACGATAGCAAATGTCCTGCCCAGCCAGGCACTCTCCCCGGTGGACGCGCTGACAAGTAGCGCAAATAGCTGGGGGCTGCGGGACCGGTGGTGCTGCCTGAGGTGGGGCTCCTGGTCGACGGTTCCTCCTATCGTCGCGACCTCTCCACTTCCTCTTGTTCCGGTGCTGCGCCTGCTGAGGTGGCGCTGGCAGGGCTGGCTGGATGGCAGCTGGCTGTCTGGCTAGTGGTGCCACCTGAGCTAGTGGCTATGCAGGAGTGTCTAGCAGCTGGGATGCCTCAATCTGCTGGGCTCGCTCAACGGTCTCAGCATAAGTCAAATAGCCATGGCTGGCTACGAGCACTCGAAGGTCTCTGGTCAG